CGGGGCTCAATCCCAGCGGGACAGTCTTGCCGCCCCAGAGCTCCTTGTTCCAGGCGTTCCAGGCGGTGAAGGCCTCGACGGAGAGGTTGTGATGGAGGGTCTTATCAGCGGAACGGTAGTGGATGGCTGCGTAGGGGATAGTTTGCTTGGAAGGGTCTGTGAGATCGGACTGAGACCTGTTGTCGAAGATGGTGATGTCTTTGTAACCCCTGGCGGCAAGGTGGAGAGCTGTGCTGAGGCCGAAGGGACTGGCGCCTATGATGATGATTTTGCCGTCTTTGGAAGGCTTTCTTGGTGCCATATTGATGCACTCCTCTGTGAATTTCTCTTTTCAGTGATTTGATAAATTATGTTTGATGTGGAATTTGTTCAGGCCTTCACGATGTCCTTCCTAACGGCGGATTGCCCATGGCATCACACGGCATCGCCCCGCTGGCTCCACCCACCATACATACCCAGCGATGTCGTTATATCACGTCACTTCCATCCATCGATAAGTACTCGACTCCCGGTTTGTTGATACCCTCAAGATCGTTTTCGTAATGGAGAGGTGGGTTTGTCATCATTCCGACGGCCGCTTGTTCAGGGAGCTTTCACACTGCATGCAGCCCTGTTGGTCGATGTACAAAGGTAAACGGTCTTCCAGTTTGGGACGCCAGAGTGCTTGCGACGGCAGTAACAACACAGAGTAGAAGTCAAGAAGCTGCAAAAACCCATATGTCTGGCAAGCGTCAGGGCCTACCAAATGATGAGTGGAAAGCGAAACTTAGTGAGTCGACGGTTTGCTCTTTGTGTGCGTTCAGAAGTCAAGGAATTGCATCAACAAAAGCTGATACCTTCAAATCTGCCCAACACTACCTTAGACGTTCGCTACACTAAGTATAAGACCCGAATGATTGTCTATTTCTCCTCAGGAAGGAACTCTAGAAGATGGTCTCTGATAATTATATTGTGTTCTTCGTGATCCGCCTTGTTCGTAGCTGAGAACTCCTCGCTTCACCGATGCATCTAGTCTGATTGCCTTCATTGATAGGAAAACGCTCAGTCTGTCAGGTCCATTACTCCAGCTTCCCGCTACTGCGACAAGTGATAAAATTTCGGAGGAAAGGACCCGTCATTATTAAGTTTCATACTTTTGTTACTTGTTGATGCCGCTTTTTTTTTTTGTCAGGACACGCCGACTCCCCCTTTTAATATCAGTATAGTCGTTATCACTCAGTAATAATTTTTGTGTACTTGCTACAAAGTAGAGTTCTATTGTGGACTTCCAAAAACCCAGTAGGTGAGCATGGCAGCCTTCATGTATTGAGGCATCATGTAGTCTTCTTATATTTGAGAACAGGGGCATGCTCACTGGCTGTCAGAAGGATCTTTATTGCTCTATTCGTCATTATTGTTCTCATAAGACCAATCAGAATGATCGACTTCCCAACCTTGTGCAATAGGGATAGGCATCATGCACGATGTTTCCAAGCTGCATGATCAGTACAATATGGCTGTATCTCCAGTGAACAGGTGGTCTACCCAGTTACCTCTGCCTGTACTTTGCTATTTTCCCACCTGTATACCCTATAAAGCTGTTCTAATTTCGTTTTCCTGAACACTGCTGCACTCGACTTCCTCAGAAAACGAAAATTCGGTCTCGGCCAACGAAGCAGTTTCTCTTCCTAAACAACATCAATATCAACAGCTCGACCCGAGAAGTCAACTCGAAACAGTTTCACGATGGACAGGTAATCGCAAATAGTCCTTGCGAAGCTTTTTCTGGTGAATGCTAATTACTATGAACCCACCGAGTAGTACCAAAGACAATCACGCCCACCAGGGGCAGCAGCAGCAGCAACAGCAACAGCAACAGCAACAGCAGCAGCAACAGCAGCAGCAGCTCTCATCAGTGGCTCTAATGGCCTACGACCGGTATGGCCACCTCGACCCAAATCGCGTCCAGCTCATGACGCGTGGTCACTTCCTCAGTGAGGAGGAGGTCGCTGCGCTGCCAACTCATATCGCAGTGAAAGGAGACCCTCCTGCCAGAACAGATTCGATGTGTCAAGCTGCAGCGGCTCCCAAAGCGGCAACTACTCAAGCAGCTTCTGACCAAGCTGCTACTAACCAGGCTGGAGGCGGACAAGCTGCAACTACTTCAATCACTCCCGCCGCCGCCACTCCCGCCGCCGCCACTCCCGCCGCCGCCACTCCCGCCGCCGCCACTCCCAAGATTTATGGGTACAGCAAGTACTGTATTTGGACGGATGAGGAGACGAAGTTGCTGCTTCGCCTGCATGCTGAAAGAGTTACCTTCCCCCAGATCGCGGTATGTTGCCTCTTCTCGAGCTTCGCGGCTCAGAATTACATTACTACCCGTCACCAATCACTTCCCCTTCCAGACATTCGTGACTCATAAGGACATAGCAAGTTGCTACTGGTCATTGCCTCTTCTACATATGTAGACCTTCGCCACACACAGAACATAGCTATTTGCCACTGGTATTGGAAGGTGTTCCTCAGGCTCCCACACTGATTCAAGTATAAATCTAGACATACTTCCCTGGAAAGTCGCAGAAGGCTTGCCAGCAAAAGTTCTACCACGCCATTGATGACTCCGGTGACACCACACATGATTGGAGGGCCTTCCACGATAGTCTTCGAGACAAACACGACCACGAGACGAGCAAGAAAAATCATAAGTAATTTGTGAGGGTTATGGGGCGGTGGAGGGCGGGGTGGCAGCATTTTTGGCTTTGTCGCTGAGGAGCAAGGCTGAAAGGCCTCGGTCCTTCGTACCCGCCTCCTCCAGCACACAGCCAGCATACCCAATCAAATCGCGACCTCGCCAGTCACAGTCTTCCAACACTCGTAAGGTCCCAGTTGCCCTGCTCAACTGTGCCCGCAGCTGTGTTTCTTAGAGACATATCCGATGAGGATGCCACCAATTAATCAGACATCTGTGATGGCGCTGCTCGAGCACACTCTGGGTGGGGAAACCTTCGAATATCAATCGCGGAGCAACTACCAGGCGAGGAAGAATATCACTGACATCAAATACAGCAGTTGCAGCCGTGGCAGCAACAACCAGCCGCTGTGGAGACCTTCGGGTATCCAGTCGCGGAGATGGCTATCAACCAGATGCAAGGCTTTCTTTGGATGGCACCACGGGCGGAGTGGCCTACGCCTGATCCGCCTTTGGTGTCACCAGGCCTTGCGCAAGTACAGAGAATGGCTGTGTGGTTCAGAAGGAACCGCTTCCGCAGGGGGCATAGCCCGGGGCTCAAGCAACGACGGCACCATGGGCTTGGAGTCAACCTGGGCCCAAAGAATCGCACGATCCATCTCCCTCAACCACTTACACGCAATCAAGATGTCTGAGCCAATGGACAAGGGTCAGTGGTTGCCCTCTTTCCCCAGCTACCTGGCAACCAGTTCACTGGTACTGCGAGGAGATCTTCGGGTACCCAGTTGCGGAGATGGCTATCAACCAGATGTGGTCAAGGCTTCGGCGACCACTGCTATGGCCGACTACATGAACGGACATAGGCACTGGGCTGGTGCCTACCAGCACGATGTCATCGACCATGCGATTCCCGGCGCAGAGGCCGATCATCAGGAGCTCCAATACAATGCTCCTGGAGGTCTACATCCTCGCAGATCGTTTCATGATGCCCATATATCTAGTTTCGGAGATGGCTATCAACCAGATGCGGTCAAGGCATGGGTGGCCACTGCAGAGATGCGAGGACGGGATGTCGAGCCCCTCGTAAGTATCCTCTGCTACTTCATCTTCAAAATCCAATCTCTAGATCTTCGTGCTCTCCACGTATTCGGGCTAAGCTGACCATGGAATGATAGGCTTATGATATGAGCGTGAGCTCAAGTCCAATTCGAGACGAGCCATTAACACCATCGGATGGTCAAGACTTAGCACTCCAAGTGCTGCTCACGGACTCTGGCACGTACTTCAACGGTCTTGATCGTACCAGCATGATCGAGTCAGCCCAGAGCTAATTCGACCCCCATGGTGTTAACCATAAAGACCTCTAGAGCCTCATTCGCATCATCAGCAATGGCTTGGCCAGCCTTGCCATCAACATGGGGCTGCCACAACTGCTACAGCTCTCCAAGTTCCTAGCCCCCAATATGAGCAGGCGACCCCAGTGGTTATCCACCTAGTGCGATCATCACCCCGGAAAGCTCAACCATGTCCGTTCGCCACATGGTCACCAGCTCTCGGCGAACTTCGCCACCTCATAGACACAGGTTGTTCACCGTAGTGGAAGGAGGTGGTCGTTGCTCGTTCTCAAACTTCGCGACTCACAAGCACATGCTTATTCGCCACTGGTGAGGGCAGTTGTTACTAAATCTAAATGGCTTGGTGCGGCCTCACCCTCTGAGCTTCCAGGTCGGTGGTGACTTGGCCTCTGCTACCAGTAGTAGTGTGCCACGCCAATGGAGAACACCCAGCAGAAATGCCGTCGCCTCCATGAGCGACAAGTTCTCTGGCGTGTCTCCTGTGCGGCAGCGACCTGGATGAGGCCCGGGGACGTCATCTTGGAGAAATATGGCTGGGCACACAGTGCGGCGAATTCGAACAGTTCAATCGTGATGGAGGGTGGTTTGGCAGATAATGTGTTACAAATATGGAGGGACTAATAGAAAATACTCGCTTTATTCTCAAGCTTCTGTGACGCCTAGTATTCTTGGACAGATTGACTTGTTTTCGCTCCCTTGGTGTCCTGATCAGTGTGTGGGTGCACCCACACGAAGTGATGCTGTCCCTGATACTACACGCATTGATAATCACAGGTCGCAAAATGCAATCAGAGACTACATCTCCTTGAAGAACTTCGTGCCGGAGTGGTTGCCTTTCTCCTGATTGCAAGCTTCATAACAATATACAGCATGTTGCTCAGTGTTCATAATGTTGACTGTGCACCAGTTCCGGATAAAATGAATTTTACAAAGGATATAGATTCAACTATTTTTCAGGATTTCAACAATTGATTGGTCTGCTGGCCCAATGGCAAGGCGTCTGACTACGATTCGTGATTAACATCACAACATCGGTAATCAGGAGATTGCAGGTTCGACCCCTGCGTAGACCTTTTGCACCTTTCTAGTCTCTTGTCTACTATCCCGCAAAGGTGGGCCTTTGATTTTTTGGCCTTTAATCATGATGTTTTTGAGAGCTACCTGCGTCCCATGTAAGACCAAAGAACCTTGACGCCTCCTCGGGGTTGGCATATTAGCCCCGGGGGACCATAAAGAGGAAGTCCATCACCAGTTACCTAGTCCGGGCATGTCAGGTGTGTATTTGCTAATGTTGTCCATAGCAGCGGCATATTGACAAGGGCGTACAAAGTTTGCAAAGTGCAGGTGACTGCGATTAATCTAATTCGCCTGGGAGGTTATTGACACATCACCACAAGCTCTTCAGCATCTCAACACGTCCCTATCGCCTTCATACGGCCGCTGTTTGCTGAAGTGCGTGCTGCATTTGCAGACTACTTTCCAAGGTTGTTAATTACCTTGAAAGTGCCTTCATCTCTGGATACATAGTGATGAGTGAATTGTCCACGTATGTCGTTCCAGCCGACGTTGTACAACAAAGAGGCTTATTTCATTCTTCGCTGCAACAAGGATTAAACTACTTGTAAGGGAAATATGGGTAGTAGCTGAAACAAACCAGGCTCACTAAATATACAACTTAATATAGCTTGGATATCGCAGAGCAGGGGGGTTAAGCCCCAATGCTAATAAGGTTCGCACTATCCGCATTTGTTGAAGCTTCCAATTTGTTAGTGCTCACATGCCAGATGGATTAGTGGTGCCGAGGTACGGGAAGGCACTTCCAGGCATGGTGGCTTGGTGCTACCAAGCAAACAGCGTCCCTTGGGCATCACGGCATTTGCTTTGTGGAGCTGGTGGATCATTTAGATAGCCTCATGAGTGTAGGCATTCAGGTGTCGTAATACCGCGTGTGAGTGAAACAGGTGGGAGTATGGAAGTCCTTCAGCGAAACTCTGAGTTGCAAATAATATATGCCTGGGAAGGCCTATCAAAGCGCGGAGAAGCATCATAATTGGTGAGATAGCAACTATACATAAAACACCGATGGTACTATTGATAGGCAAAAGATGAGCCTCATAATACCCTGGTCCTTGTCGAAGTCCCTGAGCCCAAGAGTGGGTCGATATGGATAGTCCCAGGGTAGACCTATTACAACACGAGATCCAGAAGCTTGCCCACGTGGTTTTGGATGTTGATCTCCCGTTGTGAGCTTTTATATACACTAGACGTCAAGCGATCTTCTTTTTTTGTGTCGAACAAAGTTATTACATAGACCAGTCACGATGCCTTTCGCGCAGGTCAACGGCAAGAGCATATTCTATAGCTGGAAACCGGCTACCCGGGCCGGTTTGACCCTCTACTTCATCCATGGTCTCGGAGGATCGCATTCTTTCTGGGAGCCATGTATTCCTGGCCTGGTCGAGGCTGGGTTCTCATGTCTGGCAATCGACATTCCCGGTAGGTTTACAGAACCTTGATGCCTTCCCAGGGTTAATTCGGGAAGTTGCTATTTCTAATATCTGGAATCTTAGGTTTTGGGCAATCACCCTACAACAGTAAGCCTCATGACTTACACGACATCGCAGATGACTGTGTTGCCCTTCTCCAGGAATTGGGGAGGCCACTCAGCCGGACGATTATCGTGGGAGCATCAATGGCTGGAATTGTCTGCTGTGAGATAGCAGTGAAGCACCAAGTCGCAGGCGTCGTCAGTGTTGGCCCAATTTGCCCTGGCCCCGAGACAAAGGAGGCATTCGAGCACCGACTCGCAGTTGTGAAGAACGGTAGGCTATAACCAGTATATTGGCTTCTTGCAGTACCAGCTAAGCTGATTTCCAACAGATGGGTTGGAGGGAATTGCGAATACAGTCGATATCCCCACACTGGCAATTGGGTCCAAAGCCACCAAGATAGCCCAGACCTTTGTGCGATCGCTTATACAGTCATCTAATCTTGAGGCATACATGTCTTTGGCACAAGCCATTGCCGATGCGCCGGTTCCCGCGTATCACGAGATAAAAGTCCCTCTTCTATGCGTGGCGGGACAGGAGGATCAGGTCGCTCACCTGGAGGACTTGGCCCTGATCGGAGACAGGCATGTTCTTAGCCCCTGACAACTGCTGTATAAATATTATCTTATGTTAACCATTGACCTGCAGCTGGGGCGCACCCTCCAAGACTGAGCTTGCAGTGCTTTTCGGCGTGGGCCATTGGCACTGCATCGAGGATCCGGATGGGATGGAGGAGTGCCTCAAGAGGTTTTCCAAGAAGGTAAGCTATCCACATATCTCAAGAAGCTTTACTTGACGAGTGGCAAGCATCTTACGGGTATAATATTGATACGATAACAGGTCAGTGCTTCTATAGGAGATGATGGAGCTTAATTATATAATCTTGGAAGTCAAGTTGTATGGACTCTCTTTTTTTGGTTCGATATCTGTCCTGGTGTAACAAGCAACTACCGTCTTCGAAGGTGTCGATACGTCATTTCCAAACTTTTCCCAAGAAGATATGGACATCAAGCAGAACTCACTGGGTGATAATTGTCGATAAGCAGACATCTAGAGGCAGTAGAGTATACCGGGATACCATCAATGATCCCGAGGTCGAGAAACCTCCGTTAATATAAGTCAAAGACCCTGAGTTGCGCCCACCCCCTATTTGGGCCCACCCTCCTACACCGCTACCTAAGTCGCACCACCCTACTTCACTTATAAATATTTCAACCAATTACCAACGGAACCTCTTCAAACTTTGAACCTTATTCAATTACCTTATAATGCCTTTGTATGTCGAGGATGACGTTGCTGACGCCCTCGAGGCGATCGCAAATAGGTCATCTCTTAGGAAGGCTATACTCGATTTCGGTATCCCACGGGGGACCCTTCGGCGAAGGCTTGACGGCTCTCAACCTCATCAAATCGCTTCTGAAGAATTTCAGAGGTTGACTATAGACCAGGAGGGTCACCTAGCATGCTGGGTAATAGCCTAGGGCAACCTAGGCCTTCCTCCTACCCATTCACAAGTAAGGGAATTGGCCCGTCGAATCCTCGTTATTCAGGGTGACCCCCAGCCTCTAGGAAGGAAATGGATCACCAGATTTCTCGCTAGGAACCCTTCAATTCGGACCCAGAGAAGCCGTCAGCTCTTTCCCGAAGCCATGGCGGTCCTGACGGAAACTTAAAATCCCCATTCTGATAGGTCTGAGCGTTGCACGTTTTTGGCCCTGATGAAGCACCCATACGTCACCAAGGTCAACCACAGAACGGATGAGCCGCCAAGAATGTGGTATGAAGACCGGTATCGGGCCTTTGCCTACCTTATTCGATGTACCATCCTCTTCACTGCAGGATAAAGACACCGTTACACTCTATGCTGTGATGGACTTCCAGTCCCTAACAGGGAGACAGATGTACGGTAGCTGCGAGGTTCCGACATGATGAGCGACTGTGGCTAAGTCTCTGAGAGGTTGTGCGAAAGTTGAAGTGTTTGAACCTCCACTTGGTGTTTCTTGGCCAATCTCTACGGCACTCTCGCTGTCCGATTGTTGAAATTGACAGGTCGATCAAGTCTCATCTCATGTCGATTCTCCTAGGCGACAGGCTCCTAGGGCTGTGAAAGTCGTCACCATGTACATTTCGATTCGGCTAGAGTGAACAACCCACTTGGTGGTTTCGAGCCCTTGCAGATCTCCACTGTGGCGCCCCCCTGACGAACAAACCCCACTGACTGCTTGAAACAAAACGCTCGGGATGATTTCTGCTCTGCTATTCTATCCGTATGCAAAGATGGTCCAAAAGGACAAAGATGCTTTGATTCCGATGTTCCGTTCCCACCTGGGATTATAATCCATGGTATAATATATATGTGTTATAGTCGATCTTATGTTTGAAGCTTGAACCGCACATCATGCAGTACGCGGACGGGCCCTCAACGATGTCGATCATAGCCTAGATGAAGCGTGGGGACAAGGACCATGCGATCCCTGCAGCGATCCGACAGGGAGATCGAAGCGAGAGTGGCCTACGAAACCCCTGATGGGTTCAGTCTGTGGTCCTGCCATCGCTGCAGCACACATGATGATCAGTCCACTGTTTACTACTCACTTGAATTGTCCACTGGATATAGCAATCTTGGAAATAGCATCTCTTCACGGCTTCCTTGCCTATAGAGGCGTGAGTGCCCACTGCGAGCGTAATGCGGCTTCGGCAGCAGCCGCCAGTTCGTGCTCGTTGTCGATCCGTCGATTGACCGCGCGGTGCTTCGCGCGCTGCTGGCTAGTGATTGGCAATCAGATCTCGCAAGAATCCTACACATGGGGGCTGCAAGTTGAAGCCAGGCCCAATCAAGCAGCATAACGGGCAATGGAGCCCCTTTTCTCTCCGAAAATATCGAGCATCCCTGCTGCCACAGTCTTTGGACTTGCTTGCTTCAGCTAGCCTATCTGGCTGAAGGTATGCTAGGTACTGAAAATACCCCTGATAAGCTCGTGGAGAAGAACGACGACGTCTGGACCAACAGATGGGCCCTGGTGTGGCGACGGGGTGCCGAAGCCATCGGGTTTGAAAGATGGAGCTGGATCCACTCATGCAGTATCTGGAGACCGCCGACCAGATGGGACTGCGCGTCTAAAAACTCGGCGGCAGCCATCTTCTGGCCTTGTTTGATGGATCTCTTCATCCTTTTGCTACTTCCTCCGGCTCACAGCGTGACGTTGGGCTATCTTTTCTTCTTGCTCTTTTCTAGGACGTATCTTTCGTCAACAACAGTCTTTCATTCTCTAACCAACTCTTCAACCAGTCTTTCATTTCAATCTTCGTCTTGATTACTTACGCCACAGTCATGGCTCCGTCTTCGTTCAAAAAGCTCGGGGTAGCTTTTGCAATTGCTGCCGCTGGAAAGGTAGCCGCCGCGGCTGCAACTCACGCCCACACAACCAGCTATGTCACCAGTACTTCTACTGGCGTCAACGAGGCCGGCGAGACCACTGTCGTTGTGGACATTTATACGACGATCTGCCCAGTCACTGCTGCTG